AGATGACCGGTAAGGGGATCTTAACCCTTGATTTGGTGTTGTCAGCACCACGCTCAGCCAGTGAGCTAACCGGCCATCCCTATGTGGGATCCGAACCGGGGCCTTGGTGTTATCAGCACCGCACTCTCCCGAGTGAGCCACGGGCCGGCCCAAAACTCGCTACTTCTGAAAGCTCTCTACCGTCCTGGGGTTTTTTGTTTTGTTTTGTGGTTGTTTTTTGTTTGTTTCGTTTTGGGGTTGTTTGTTTTGTTTTGAGCTTTACTGCTGAGCCCCGACGTGTATGACCATTGACCTGTAACCTCCCATCGAGGCTGTCTTCTGACCTCCCTAAGAGGCACTCTTTCCAGAACCAACCTTCGGCTCCTCATTCTTTCCAGGCATCTCTGAACTTGCTACTATCTTCTGAACATCAATTTCTGTCCTCCCTAACCCCCCACTAAGTTTCCACTCCACCACACCCCCCACTACCTCTGCCAAAAAAATATTGCCAAAACAGGTTACTCTTTCCTTAGGGCCCTATGAGTTACAGAAATACTTGCGCTTTGTGAGGCCCTTGTGAATCTGTCTTCCGCTTAGTTCTCAGATTCTGCTGAGCTGTACTTGCCACCAACACCACGTCTCTGCCTTAAACTCTTAGGAACATCCTGGTTTCTTTTCCCTAGACCTGCTGTGTTCCAAGCACCCTTTACAGGTACTTACTATGAGTGCCTCATCCCTTCCAACCCTGCCAAAATTCATTCCTAATCTTTGTGGCTGAAGTTGTTCTGAACTTTTATCCTCTCTTTCAGAAATTATGTTATAATTTTTCTCAGTACCTGCTCTAACCTTCCCAATTACTGACAGTGGCTTCCTTTTTCTATGCATGTGCAAGGTGTTTCTAGCAACATTTTGTCATTGAATGATGAGTCACTAATGATGTGTCATGATTTCAAATTTATTTTTCCGCATGTTTTCAATTTCTACCAGAAAATACCCATTTAATAACATCATTATTTATATTTTACATGTCTAATCTAAAGAATCAAAAGCTCCTGTACTGGCCAGCTGCCCCCTAAAAAATCAAAAGCTCCCTAAGGTGGAGATGTTTGCACAACATTATGAATGTAATTAATACCACTGAATTGTACACTTAAAATGGTTTAAAACCTCTCCCTGTCAGCCGCCTAAGGTGATCTGTGAAAATGGTCTGCTATTTACTTGACCCAGAAAACCCCACAAAATCATGCAAATCAAGATGTTCAAATCTTCGTGTTCACTTTAAGAACACCGATGAAACTGCTCAGGCCATCAAGAGTATGCATATCTGAAAAGCCACCAAGTATCTGAAAGATGTCACTTTACAGAAGCAATGTGCATCTTTCCAGCGTTACAATGGTGGAGTTGGTAGGTGTGCCCAGGCCAAACAGTGGGGTTGAACACAAGGTTGGTGGCCCAAAAAGAGTGCTGAATTTTTGCTGCATGTGCTTTAAAATGCAGTACTGATTTTAAGGGTTTAGATGTAGATTCTCTGGCCATTGAGCACATCCAGGTGAACAAAGCACCCAAGATGCACCGCTGTACTTACAGAGCTCACAGTCGGGTTAACCCGTACATGAGCTCCCCCTGCCACATGGAGATGATCCTTACTGAAAAGGAACAAATTGCTCCTAAACCAGAAGAGGAGGTGGCACAGAAGAAAAAGATATCCCAGAAGAAACTAAAGAAAGAAAAACTTATGGTGTGAGAATAAATTCAGCATGAAATAAATGCAAATAAAAGAAAAAGAAACTTAAAATGGTAAATTTTGGTATGTATATTTTATCATAATTTAAAAAGACCAAAAAAAGTACTCCCTAAGGTTTCTTATGTAAGAACAAGAGAATGTCTAATGTCTATATTTAAATATTATATAACCAGCAAAACTGCACAAATTTCTAGTGCTAACGTGTGTTTTCCCTCTGCTAAACAGAATGTACTGGTACATTTCTTCTCATCCATTTCCATTCCCAATGAGATGCACCTTACAGGTTTAATTTATCACTTAATAGCCCCCAACTCCAAAACTCAATTCAGATCAAGTATGGAAAGTTGATCTGTATTATACCTAACAAGACTAGAGATTAAACATCCAATTATTTCTTCTACCGTCTTCTCAGCTGATTACTCTTTAACTCCCCCAACCTGCAGATGTCCTAATGTCCCAGAGCTCAGTCTATGGGTCTCTTCTGTAATTACATTCACTCTCAGGGATCTCACCCAACCTCATAGTTTTAAATACCAGCTATAAGTTGATATGACTCCCAATCTCCAGTCCTTCCCGCCCCACTCTGCAACTCCGTTGATTCATAATACATCCAAAATCTCCATCTTCAGATCTAACTGACATCTATTTATCCCATCCAAAATGAAATTCTTGATCTTCATTCCCAGACATGCTCTGCCTGCAGCCTTCCCTCAGTCCATAAACCTTGAGTAATTTTGTAATTAGACTCCCTGCTTTCTCTTGCCCCCTGCCATCTATTCTTCACATAGCAGCCAAAGCAATCCTTTAAAACCTAAAACAAGGGCTGGCCGGTTAACTCCTTTGGTTGGAGTACTACCTTTTTTTTTTTTTTGTCTTTTTCCGTGTCCGGCAACGGATCGCAACCCTCAGTGTCGCCCCCGTACCAGACCGGGACCGGCAACGGGATCGCAACCCTCGGTGCTGCTCCGGCGCCTCGCTCAGCCAGTGCGCAGGAACCGGTCCGTATGTGGGATCCGAACCCTCGGGCGGGAGCGCCGCCGCGCTTCCCAGGCGGCGCACTATCCAGTGCGCCACCGGGCCGGCCCCTGGAGTACTACCTTTTTTTTTTTTTGTCTTTTTCCGTGTCCGGCAACGGATCGCAACCCTCAGTGTCGCCCCCGTACCAGACCGGGACCGGCAACGGGATCGCAACCCTCGGTGCTGCTCCGGCGCCTCGCTCAGCCAGTGCGCAGGAACCGGTCCGTATGTGGGATCCGAACCCTCGGGCAGGAGCGCTGCCGCGCTTCCCAAGCGGCGCACTATCCAGTGCGCCACCGGGCCGGCCCCTGGAGTACTACCTTTTAACACCAAAGTCAAGAGTTCAGATCCCCATACCAACCAGGTGCCAAAAACAAAACAAAATAAAATCTTGAAACAAATCTCGTCACTTATCCTGAAACGCTTAGATGGCATCCCATTTCACTTGAGCAAATTCACTTGAGCAAAGCAAGCTCAGATCCCTGCAATGGCCTCATGAGTTCCTACTGTGTCTCTGACCTCAACCTCATACTCTCTTCTTTCACACTGGCATCTTTGATGTTCCCTCATAAAAACCAAGCATGCTCCCCTCAGGGCCATTGCATATGTTGTTTGCACAAGCAGTACATGCTTCTGCCTGTATTGCTTTTCCCTTAGATATTCCATGTAACTTCCTTCTTTCCTCCTCTCCTTTGAGTCTTTTTTTTTTTTTGGCCGCTGGCCTGTATCAGGATGTGAACCCTTGACCTTGGTGTTATCAGCACCATGCTCCAACCAAGTGACCTAACTGACCAAATCCATCCTTCAAGTCTTTATATGTGTCACCTTCTCAGAGAGGCCTTTCCTAACTGCAATACTTAAAATTATCACCCACTTCAACAATCATCTCTATCACGCTTCTTTAATTTTAATGTTTTTCACAGCACTTAGCAGCAGTTTATATATACGTTTTTATATTTGTATATATTATATTATATATAAAATGTTTCTGTTGTCAGCTTTCCCCCACCAGAATGTAAGCTCCATGAAAATAGGGATTATCTGTTTTGTTCGTTGAATGTGCTACTGAATAAATGATAAATGATAATACATCTACTTAAAAACAAATCCTTTTTACCTCTGTCTGTCACTTTTAGAATTTCTTGCAACTAGTAGCTGGAGGCTAAAGAAGAGGACAGAAGGGTCAGACCGTGGCTCGGCTCACTCGGGAGAGTGTGGTGCTGATAACACCAAGTCAAGGGTTAAGATCCCCTTACTGGTCATCTTTAAAAAAAAAAAAAGAAGAAGAAGAAGAGGACATAAAACAACTCTGTCCTTCAAGGAATTTATTCTTTCATGGATGAATGTGAACTTAATAGTAAAATAAGTATAATACACAAATAAGGTTTAAAAAAATGGGGATGCAGAGAAAAGACAAACCATATTTGTCAGTGTTCGTTAGGGAAGGGGGTAATTGAACTATTCTTTGGCATGGCTAAGTATGGGCTTACGTGTGTGCACATGCACACACACACATACACACACATACAAATAAGGAAAACGACTTGTTCGAAGAACAAAGAATAGTCCCGTTTGCCTAGATTAAGTTCCTTGGCTCCCTCCCCATGACCCCTCAACACTTGTATGGCAGATCACTGATCAATAACGTTAGAGAAGTAGGTCAAG